CCCGCCCCCAGACATCAAGGAAATTCACCTTCCTGGACAGTAGGAAGATTTTTTAAAAAGAGGGAGGTGGGCTGGGAGCCAGGACTCCTGGGTTCTGTCCCTGGCTCTGGGAGGGGAGTGGGGGTCTAGTGGTTGCGGGGGGCAGGACTCCTGGGTTCTGTCCCTGGCTCTGGGAGGGGAGTGGGGTCTAGTGGTTGCAGGGGGCAGGACTCCTGGGTTCTGTCCCTGGCTCTGGGAGGGGAGTGGGGTCTAGTGGTTGCAGGGGGCAGGACTCCTGGGTTCTCTCCCCAGCTCTGGGAGGAGAGTGAGGTCTAGTGGTTGGGGGGGGGCAGGACACCTGGGTTCTCTCACACACACACAACGATATTTCCCCTTGGATTTGCTCCGAACACACCTTTTGGGATTCTCCCCCCCTCCCCCCAAGCCCTGGAGAGGATTCGATACATGAATGACACACCTGGGAGAGGACTGAACAGGTGCCCCCTAGAGGGGACAGGCCCCGGCCCCATACCCCACCCCCTGAGCCCGCCAGTCCCTGCCCTGGGGCTGTATCCCTGTCAGTGCCCCTGCAGGGGAAAGGCCCCGCAGCCTCTTCCTCAATCATTAGTAACCTCACGTCTGCTCTCCTCCCAGAGCTGTGGAGCCTGAGAATTATAATCAGTATTGTGGGAGCGCAAAGTGTTCGGAACACGATCAAACGCTGTCCAGACCGAGAGTCGCCGCGTTTGGGGCCCCGGCGGGCCGGGCGCTGCCCAGACCGAGAGTCACCAAGATCGGGGCCCTGGTGGGCCGGGCGCTGCCCAGACACAGAGTCATGGAGATCGAGTCCCCATCACGCCGGGCGCTGCCCAGACACAGGGTCATGGAGATCGAGTCCCCGTCACGCCGGGCGCTGCCCAGACCCAATCACCGGTGTCGGGACACAGAGGAGCCGCTGCCTGCCCCGAAGAGCCCGCAGCATTGGTCTATATTAGCAGATGATAGGATGACACAAGGCGCTTTGTTTCCTTACTGAATCCATTCCCCCCCCCCCCCCATCCAGCCCCAGAGCCGCAGGATGGAGAAACCTGAGCCGCAGACAGTGAAACTAATGGAGGCACCAGGACGGAAGAGGAATGGAGAAGAAGCTGCTAATTTCCGTCGACCTGGCTAGCCCAGTCCTGACTCCCCACCCCTGCTCTGCCGGTGCCCCTCACTCCCGACCCGCAGCCCCTGCTAGCCCAGCTCTGCCGGTGCCCCTCACTCCCGACCCGCAGCCCCTGCTAGCCCGGCCCTTCCCCCCCACCCTAGCTCTGCCGGTGCCCCTCACTCCCAACCCGCAGCCCCTGCTAGCCCGGCCCTTCCCCCGCACCCTAGCTCTGCCGGTGCCCCTCACTCCCGACCCGCAGCCCCTGCCAGCCCAGTCCTGACTCCCCCACCCCAGCTCTGCCGGTGCCCCTCACTCCCGACCCGCAGCCCCTGCCAGCCCAGTCCTGACTGCCCCCCCAGCTCTGCCGGTGCCCCTCACTCCTGACCCGCAGCCCCTGCCAGCCCAGTCCTGACTCCCCCACCCCAGCTCTGCCGGTGCCCCTCACTCCCCACCCACAGCCCCTGCTAGCCAAGTCCTGACTCCCCCACCCCAGCTCTGCCAGTGCCCCTCACTCCTGACCCGCAGCCCCCTGCTAGCTCAGCCCTGGGCCCAAGGTCGGAGTCGGATTTCCCCGAGCTCAGCACTGCAGGCTCCGAAATGCTGAATGCTCGGTTCTTTCTCTGTCTGCCAGTGTCTGTTTCCAGGCCTGGTACCCCCCCCCCACCCCCACGGCACTGCACAGTCCCCTTGAGTGGCTGGCATGGAACAGGGTGGTGGGGGAAGAGCGGGGGTGGGTGGCTGGGGGAGCTCCAGCCCTTGGCCCCATAACCTGGAAAGCCCCCACTGCCTCCTATAGCTCCCCCCGAGAGACGCCCCCCCAAATTTCCTCACTCATAGTATCCTCCCCCTCCCTCCCGCAGTGGCCACTCCAGCCCTTGGCCTCTCTGCTGGGGGGAGGGGGATGTGGCCCAGTTTGGAAGGGGGGGTGGGGCTCTGCAAAGAACCTGCCTGGGAACCAGCCCGAGAACCAGCAAACTCATTACACGCATGAGCCACAGAATGAGACGGGGGGAAAGCCCCGCACCCCATTCCCTGCCCCCCTGAGCCAACCAGTCCCTGCCCTGGGGCCGGATGGGAGCCGGCGCTCCCTAGAGGGGAAAGGCCCTGGGGCCTCATTACTATCCCTGACTGAAGGCCCCTTTAAATCCCTGCCGTGTTCCTGTGTCCCCCCCCCCCACGCCCAAATTTCATTTCTAAGCCACAAATCTTTTAATCTCCTCCTTGATTCCTACCTTGCAGGCAGCTGCCAGACCCCTGGGAGTTGGGGGAACGGACAGGCCACAGGAATCCAGATCCTCCCTTTGTCCAGATGGGGGGGTCCAAAAAGAACACCCACTCCCCTCCCCACCAGCCACAGAACCAGGTTCACTGGTCTGGACAGAACGGGGGGGCTTGGCAGGGAAATTGCAAGGGGTCGTGAGCTCTGGGGCAATAGAACCAGCCCCCGATGGGTGCAAGGGATGTCCAGGGAGATCCCGGGGGGTGGGGTTCAGAGCGGAGCCTGGAGGGGGCTGACGGGCAGCATGTGGGGCCCAGAGCAGGATGGGGAGCCCAAGGATGTGGGGACGGGAGCAGCAAACAAGATATGGAGAGGGGCAGCCCCAGCACCCCCTGAACCAGGCAGTCACCCCAAAACCCAGGAGTCCTGGCTCTCACACACACACACCCCCAACCACTGGACCCCACGCCCCTCCCCGAGCTGGGGAGAGAACCCAGGAGTCCTGGATCACACACACACACACCCCCAACCACTCGGACCCCACGCCCCTCCCCGAGCTGGGGAGAGAACCCAGGAGTCCTGGATCACACACACACACACACGCCCCCAACCACTGGACCCCACGCCCCTCCCCGAGCTGGGGAGAGAACCCAGGAGTCCTGGATCAC